GAATCCTTTCGAGGCTTCCTCATTTTTGGAAACTGCCGTTTCAAGCCGTGGCAACTTAGCAGCCTTAGAGTTTTCTTCGAGCTCTTGGCTCGAATTTTTCTGATGCGAAAAGGTGCCCCTTGCAAGTCTTGCGCCGGTGTGTGGCTGGCAAGCTGTTCCATAGCTGCAGCCTTCAGGTTTCATACAGAAGCGTTCCAGCGCATGCGGGATCTACAGAACGAGAAGGCCAGCTGCGACCATGCTTATGCCGGAAGATTCTTGACAAGGATGTTGTTAGGGCGGTTCACGCATTGTTCCTTTGTCTGAATCGCACCCTACTTCTCCACCAGTTCGAATTCAAAACACAACGCGAATATATTGTGGCGTGCTTGAATCTGGAGCAGCATTCAGCCTTGTCGCATGCACTCCAAGCTTGTCATGCAAGGGTCTGCCTTTGTGCTAACTGCCAAGGACTTGCAGGATCAGGGGACCTCGTAAGTAGGTGACTAAAAGGAAATTGGGTTATCTCATTGCCTGTAGCAGAGTCATAAGTACATCTACTGAGAATTGCTAAGTCCGCCAGACCCTCCAGACCCTTGAGGCTCTACTTTCAAGGAGGCTTACGTTTTACGTCCAAAGTTACACACGAGATTCCCTAACAAGCCCTGTGATACTCGAGTATCATCCCGACCCTGCACCGTCCTCACTCCCATGATCTTTCTGCAATTTTTTTGCGCAACCATCTTCATAAGCCACATGGGTAGTTTCCGTAGTTGAGTATAATATGAGCTCGTGGTTTACTGGGTTTGTTTCATTTCTTGATCCCTTCTATTCCGGGGTACTAGAGTAAGTATCCCGAGCTCCATTTGGGGAAAAGAAATGCGGGAAAACTCTGACATGTTCAGTGTAGGCAAAGGCGGCGCCGCGACCCAACCGCCGGGTTTCGGTAACTTTCGAGACGCGGCCGTTTGGGATGACGCCCTCCAAAGATGAAGGCGTGCCACCTTTTGCCGGGGGCCCTTTGAAAAAGAGATGTAGCATGTGGGTACAACAGCATTACAGAAGGGATAGGTAGCCCAAAAGCTCCTTGAAGGATCCTTGCTCGTCTTAGGTCTCAGGCAAGGATCAAAAGTGCTTCTACTGGGCGATCAGGATGATGAGTGGCTCGGACTCTTGACCCCACACTCATGTGCTCCATAATGCTTCCTCGACGTAATGGAGGCCCTGCTCAAATCACTGCAGGTTTTTGAGTCCATGGAGTTCTAGTCAACCTAAGTCCTAAGCCCTGAGCCCTTAATCCAAAACCCTAAGGCAACCTTGTCAGGTGGGCCAACGGCCGGCTACGTTGTGGACAAGGTGCCTTTTGCAGTTCACTTCTGATCTTCAGCTTCAGGTTAGTGACGCATGTGACATTCCGAGTGCTTCTTAAACTTCTCTCCCTGCTTTATTTTGTTGTGTTGAATCCTGGCTTGGCTGATTTCGTTGGGCTACCATGGGCTAGCAATTCCATCCGCATCCAGCGCAATCTGCGCTGCTTTTTGAGCAGTGCCTGTCCACCGCCTTGCGAAGTCGGCCCGGCAAAAGTTAGATGGAGTCCTCCAGGCCAGGAGTCGCAATTCGACAGCAGCTCTGCTATCTTTGGCTACAGATCCAATTTACTCGTAGGCTTTGTTTGAAGGAGTCTGCGCCACAAACTCTAGCCCTTCAACCCCAAAGCCCTAAGTCCCTGAACCCTAGCCTTAGCTCTCAGCCTAAGCCAATGAAACATGTTCCTCGGACCACTGACAAGCAGCAAGTAAACCTCTAAACCCGAAACCCTGTATACCTCATTGCCCTGCTTTCCATTTCAGTTTCCATGTGATTCTCCATTCCCTACTAACCACCCTAAACTAACCTTTAAGCCCTGCCCCCTAGAGAAGTTTCCATTTTGTTTTCCGTTATCCCTACATTAACCTATATTGCGCTAGTCATACCCTACATGTCCCCGAACAGAACATGAGATAGGTTCCCCAAGCCCTAAACCCTCAACCCTGGAACCTTAACCCTACACCCTAAACCCTAGACCCCTATGTAATCCCTATATCCTATATCCCCCTGAGGGGACCCTTAAATACAAAGGTGAACCACAACGACCCCTCGAAGCCAGCGGCGCGGCTCGGGGTGAAACCTGGCTGGATAGTCGGGCACCAAGCAAGGCTTAGGGTTTAGGGTGTAGGGGTTTAGGGCTTGGGAGTTTAGGGTTTCGTGTCTGGGGTGTGGGGTTCAGGGTTTGGGGATCAGGGCTTAGGGTTTGGGGTCTATTGGTTTAGGGCTTAAGGGTCCCTTTACATGTTTCATAAGGGGGATATGTGGTTATAACTTATACTGGGGATTTAAGTGGATATGTAGGGACATGTAGGGATGCAGAGGGGTTATGCCGTCTTATACACGGGATAGTGGGAAATCAGCTGGAAAAGAGCATGATTGGCATGGAAACTGGGATGACGCAATAGTTTAACATTTGGGGTTTCGGGGTAGGCTTGTGAGGGTTTAGCGTTCAAGGTTTAGTCTTATGGGATAGGGTCTAGGGCTTAGTAGATAAGGTTGTTTTTGGGATTGTGCGTTTCAGGGGGCCACTGTAATACAGGCGACGTCGTTTCGCGGCCATTTGGGCATCCGCACAGCTGTGACTACTTTTTTTGGCGATGTCTGTGTAGGGGCCAGTAGACACTGCGCTAGTGAGTGATTTTGCTTTCTGGTGTGGGGCCTTCGTAGCCCGAAATACATTTAGGTTCCAATTCTCCCGTTTCACCCCTAAGCGGCCCTGAACCTTTTTGCCGAGGTGTCGTCAGTCGCAGGCGAAGACGTTTCAAATCGGAGCCTGGACGAAGTGCAGCAGCTCACAAAGCAAGCGTCGGCCCCAGTGGCGCCTGGAAAGATCCAAAATCTCAATTTTCAGCTACTAACCCCCAAGATGAACGCTTACCAAGCCATAGTTGGGTACTTTGGTAAGATTCATCACGAAGGGTTGGGGTTACTCTACAGGGGCAGGGGTGGGTACTGAGGTGCCGCTGCCAGTGACGATTGAGTTCGAGGCCGGAGCTCTGCTAATCCTTTGGCATGAGCAGGCATGCATTGGTGTCAGTAGCTGACCCTGTCTGTACTGACTAGCTACTGACATCTTATTGTTTTGAAAGAATCTGTCCCAGAGTAAGCCATGGTTTTTTCTTCAAAAGCTGCGCAATGCGGAACCGCACTCCTGCAGTATCGTGCTACCTAAGCCGAAGGTCCCAATGGTCTTCAAAGACAAAGACCAGAAGGACGACCAGCCTGGTTTCGGAAGGTTTGGACGTACCCCACTTTTACACCTAACATTAAAGTAAGCCCCCTAAAAGTAATCGTTACCTCGAAAGCATTCATATTGAACAAGGAAATTTTGAAGAGGAAGAATTCTGGGGCAAGGAGGAGCGGATTTGTTTCTAAATTTGCGGTCATATCCAATTCTCACGGCGGCAGGGTTTCCAGTAGAAGGCTTTGGAAAAGAGACTTCAGAAGTGGCCTCATTAGTTAACCCTAGACCCTAAATAATGCGTTGTAGTTTCCATTTTCTTTTCCATTATCCCTAGATAACCCCTATATACCCCCATATATAACCTTATAGTATGAATCTCAGGAGAATGGTGCAGGTGGGCATGGTGAAAAACGCGGCCTGCTCAGTCCACTTGTACAGCTGAGGGCTGGATTTGGGCTTGGCCTGTTTCCTGTAGCCCCAGGCCTCCTAGAAGGAGGAAGGAGTAGTTTGAAAATTAACAAATCTAGGGGAACCAAAGTCTGAAGTTTGAGCAGCTCTTCGCAGCTTTCTTGAGCTCATGTTACTTCAGCCTCATAGTGAGTTTTTTTTTTTGAGCTGCAGTCGAATGCTAGCAATAAGCACTGATGGGCATAGGGTTTCCTATAGTGCCTTCCGCTTGCATTGCCTAGGAAAGGCGAATATGGGCGTAGCTATATAAGAACTAGCGTGTGTATTGTCTTCAGTCAACTTCTACGGGTCTCATACCAAAGTTCATACAGAGGTGATCTGTTTAGTCGTAGCCTGGAGAGTACGGATACACACTTCTAGCATTGGACGCGCACGGATTCTTAGTCTGCTTCAGTTCTGCAAAAACATATTTCTTGGTTGAAGTAGAGGCGCTAATTGTGAACGCTCCACGGGAAACCTTTCTGATGATTTTCTTTCTGTTGGCTGATGCAATGCGTTGCGGGTTTGCTGTTTCATAGTTCTCTTTACCATGGTTTGACTGGTTTCAGTCATGTTTCCATTGAAATCTGTCCGCTAAGACCGTGGCGGCCAATCTCAGAAGAACCAGGGCCCACAGGCCGGCTCGCTTTTGGATTATTTGGTTTCTCCGAAATTGGGGGTCGGTCTTGGAAGCTACAGGATGGCCCTAATTAGAAAATATTCATTCCGGAAAGGGTACACCCAGGGTTTCTCCAAAGTAGAAACCCCAACAATGGCCCTGTAAAGACTATTGCTAGTTTCCTAATAACCTGGGGGTTATTGTGCATGCGGGGTTGCGTGTGAGTTTGGGGTAGTGCAAAGCCGGGGAAAAGGCTTGCGAAAATCAGGAACTGACCCAGGCGCGCGCGGCGCCTGCGCCCAGCCGAGAGTCGCGGGCCCTGAGTGGTTTGTCGGAAGTCCCTATATGAGCTATAGTCTAAACTCCGAGAATTCCCCGCAATCGCCCCTGTAATAGTCCCCTGTATCATACCTCATATAACCCCTCTTTAAGGAGTTTTGACTGTAGATCATGTCAAGGATGCCATTCTTCTGGGAGATACATTGGCGATTAACACCTTTGCACACCGCGACATTCCAGAAAGTTAAGGAAATTAATCTAAGTTACCATAATGGGTATGTATAGTAACTTCCTCAATAAAGTAACTTAAGCTAAGTTCCTTAAGCCTAAACCCTGTGTTATACCCCTACAGCAAATTAAATTAAGTACAGCAACCCAGCTTAGCAGAAGCTAGCTGCTTGCAAGGTCTCGTGAGCGGACCGAGACGCAGCGTCTTCAGGCGCTGCTTAGGACAGAATTGGCAGATGCATGCTTTACCCGGGTGCAGGGGATTAGGATCTGGGGTTTGGCGTCTAGGGTTTAGGGTTTAGGGCTTAAGGTTTAGGTTCAGGGTTTAGGGTTTTGAGATAAGGATTTAGGGTTCAGGATGAGAATTTAGGGTGTAGGTTCAGGGTTTAGGGTTTGGGGGTTTGGGGTTTAGGGTCTAGGACCTAGGATTTAGGGTTTAGCTTCAGGGATGAGGGTTTAGGGGTTTGCTTGCAACTTTCTCTCCAGAAGCCTGATGCCATGCATCTTGCAAAGACTCTTAACATGAACTAATGTCAATATTAGCCTTATATCAAGGACCCTTGACAGTGGACATATGGGTCCCTCTTGTAGGTTAGTAATAAGGAGCCCATGTCCGTTAAGTTATGGAAATATTGGCTGCGGCTGACATGACTTTGGGGCGGCTAAATCCCTTTCCAAGTTGGCGGCTTTATTGCTTCTTGAGTGATGGCTGCTGGGTGTATTTGAGCTTAGGAACTACCTAAGCTGCTCGTAATCGTTCTTGCTGAGTCTTCTCCCTGTTCTGTCTCCAAAGTCAGCCTATCCCCAGGAAGTCCTTGTTGTGAGAAGCACCCATATCAATCTATTGATTATCAATGCTACTCTTCGAGAGTTGGGTTGGGAGCCGCTTCGTCTGCAGGACCTTGGAAGCCGAAGAGAAGCTTCCCGCGACGGTGGGCGGAGGGGGCGGAAGGGTGCTGGACGCTTTGAGTGAGACCCTATTCTAAGCAGGTAAGATACTAACTTGAGAGATTTCATTAGGGATCATCCTTATGCGAAGAGTGGAAGAGCTTTCCTTTTCTGGCCCGAAGATAGGCCAGTGGTCACCTAATGAGAACCTCGGAGTTTATGCGGTCTGTGCTGAGATTTTTTTAGCATCATCCTTGCCAATGGCATTTTCTAAAAAACAGGACCCTGGTCAGATTTCCTTCAAGTCATGTGTAACCTTTCTTAAAAGGACCCCCCCTCCCAAAGAGACATCAAAGCTTGGGAAACATTGAAATCTTAAACCCCAAACCCTCATGTTTCTTTTCCCCTTGGAAGAGGTCTTTGTTTTCTCGCGCCGGCGAGTTGAAGCCTTAGCAGCTGTTTGGGCCCAAGCTCTGCCTGACGAAGATCCATGGGTTTGGGATTTAGGGTTTAGGGTTGAGGGTTCTTGTTTTCCTGTCATGGTAGCTCCTCACTGCGGTAAACCCTAAATTATGATACATGGCACAACTGGGAGCAGCTGATGCCCAGGATGGGGGCATTTCACACGCGGGGAGGAGATTACGGAACCGCTCCTGATAATGGGGATGATAATGACTCCTGTAACTTGGGTCCGGGACAGGGATTTGTCCATCAGCTTGACCCTGTGCTGTTCCTTTAAGGACATGCCGAATTTGGATGTCTGCACTGCTGGGGAGAGGTCGAAGGCTGCGGAGAGCATTTTGTACTGGATAGTGTTGCTTGTGAGTTCTTTGTGAACTGGGCAGGCAGTTGTACATCCCTTCGATTGACATGTGCTGGGCGTCGCTCGTTAGCTGTTCTGTGGCTTGCCCTTACCTCCGCAGCTGTTCCAGCAATGGCCACCATGAATCAGCACCAGCCAGTGCGAGTGTGCGAGGCTGCAGCATCACTGCTGCATGACTACTGAGACGATTTTTCGACAACGAGCAGCCACTGCATCTTGTGAACATGAGCGATCTGTTCAGCCATGGCATGGTTTCTGAAACTGGAAACCTGCTCTCAAGGCCCAGTAGTTTTCAAGCATTCATTCAGGTGGTCTAAGTTCGACAGTCGGTAAATGCATTCTGACGAGTACATGACTTTACCCTTGCTTGCCTCAGTTGTTTGTTTGAAATCCTAGAAAGGACCCCTCATCGTGAACGCACCGATACGCTGAGTGCGCACGTGCGAGGTTTTCAAAAAATCCTAGACAATGAGTGGGACCCATATTTCCCCGCATGTCCCTAAGGTCCCCAAGAACCTAACTGAAATCAAGTTCCTTAACCCTAAACCCTGTATATCCCTATATACCCCTATATAATTCCCCCAAATACCCTTACTATCGTAACTTAGATTAAGTTCGTTCTTTGGAGAACATCCCCCACGAGCAGGCTCCCAGAATACCTGGTCGAGTCCCTCTGTGCTGTGCTTCGTTGGCCGAGGTTCCCATTGAACTGCAAATTGCATTTAGACATGGGAATGCCCATGTGAACTATAGTCTAGTCTAAACTCCTTACCCCCTATCTTAACCACTTTAAGTTAAGGGGGTTAGTTTCTAGGGCCTATTAAGGGGGGTACTAGGAGTTTAGACTATGACTCATGTAATATTCTTAAGCTTTCCTCCGTTTCCCCACGTATCATCCCTAGGGCCCAGGGTTTCTACAACTCTCTTGAGCAGTCACCATAGAGCTATGGTCTAAAGTCCGAGTATCCCCCTTAGTAACCCCTACAATACTCCCCAACCCTAAACCCTAAACCCTAAACCCTAAACCCTAAACCCTAAACCCTAAACCCTAAACCCTAAACCCTAAACCCTAATATAACCCCCCCTTCAGGAGTTTAGACTTTAGCTCATATGAGCTACTGTCAAACTAAGCCTGATTGAGGGACCTTTAACAGTGGACATAGGGGGTCCCTCTTGTAGTTGAGCATAGTCCCTTATCTAGTCCTTAAGAGGGAACCAATGCCCTGCAATTCTGTAGGAAATATTGACAGTAGCTCATATTGCCAAGCCGATCATCCCAGAATCAAGGGCATCCCAGCTGAAAAGCAGCACAACCAAGTCCTGCCATTCCAGAAATGTATCCCTAAAGAGAGCTTCCTCCAACCAGGATCCCAAGAAAAGGCAAGATCGCTCACATGTTTGGATTTTTTCTTGGGGCCCATATGCCTGAGCCCTCAACGCAATGACATTCGAAGCTCCCAAACCAAAACCCCCTACACCGCTAAATGCAAACCTTTAAAGCCTTCACCACGTACCCACCTTCTGTCCTACAGTAGCCCCTGAACCTCATGGAAGGCTTGTAGCCGCTTCCTGCTTCGCAGCCTACCTGGCGCGATGCTTGCGTTACTTGCACAAGGCATGGTGTGGGGTTTGGGTTTCGGGTTTTCGCCGGGCTGAAGTTGCGGTGATAGCTGAGTCGTGTTTCTACACATTTAAAATGCCAATGATCGGGATTTCAGGGCTGCCATATTTGAGAGGGACAGCTTCTTGTTTGAATTCCAGCAGAGGGATCGCTGTGACATCTGGTCTGAGCATGCCACTTTTCCAGAGCTTGTAGCGTCACTTGCAATCATGGTATTTGATCGGGATAATCATGGTTTGAGCGGCTGGGTGGGGCTTGTGATCTTGCCTGAAGCTCTACATCCCAAATCCGAAGCCTCCTCACAACAAAAGGCACAACTGCTCAGGTGAAGCGACTCCCACGACATCCAGCCCAACAGTCCTTTTTCTTCTGGGGAGATCTCGGGCGCTCGGGCGGCATATAGGCTTTAAGATCAGAGCTCAAAAGTGCGGCTCTCTTTCTAGGGTGCCCGTTACAAGGATCCCGATACATTTGGAGGTATATGAGGAGATCATGGGAGATCTTAATTGTTGTTGCAGCGCGGTCATTTCTTGAATCCCTTCGTGAGCTGATTTTGGCTCTGGGAGATTATGCTGCTGTAGCAAGTGGGAGTTGGATGGAGTTGGGGATTTCCCAAAGGGGTCCTGAACCTGGTCATCCTACTGTGAGGCGGACCATGAATAAACAGGCCACCTCATGATGAACTTCTTAACGGGGCCCGGCTCACAAGCCCACATTCCTAAGACCCCGACCCCAAACTTCGATAATCCTTAAAGCCCCAACCGAGCCCTTCTTGCTATGCTGTCCCAATCTCATCCTCCAGTCTGCAATGCCGACCAAGCTTTGTTATTCCTTTTTGCGTTGAGACATTCGGATTAAGCAGTGTGCTCCTGAGCTCCCCGCATGCCAGACGCACACCGCTACACCCCAAACTTACAAAGGCGTGAACTCGAAACCCCGTCAATTTCTTCAAGCTCGCTTCACCTTGAATCCTAACAATCTACATGAAGCCCGAAGGGCCCCAAGTAGTACAGTATGGTATAATATAGTATTATATAAGACTATAGTATAGTATAGTATAGTATATTATAGCCTAGTATATTATAATATATTATAGTATCATAGGGCCCCGAGTAGCATGAACTTCCCACACATCCCAGGCACGTGATTCACGTCCTACCCAAAATCCCGAAGACCGGCCGCCCAGATCTGCTTACTTTCTACCAGGCCCAGCAAATCACACTACATTAGGGTTTAGGGGTTTAGAGTCTAGGGTTTTAGGGGTTAAGGACTTTTATGGGATTTAGGGTTAAGGGTTTTAGGGGTTTTAGGGTTTAGGGGTTTAGGGTTCAGGGTTTCGGGGTTTAGGGTTGGGGGTTTAGGGGTTTAGGGCTTTAGGGGTTGAGGGTTTTAGGGGTTTAGGGGTTGAAGGCTTTAGGGTTTTAGGGGTTTAAGGTTTTGGGGTTTAGAGGTCCAGGGGTTTAGGATTTTTGGGGTTTAGGGTCTTAGGGGCTTAGGTTTAGGGTTATGTAAGTATGTAGTTTTTATTTAGGGATAATGGAAAATGGAAACTACTAACATGGGGTTCTATAGGGTTTAGGGATACATATGTGGGGATTTCCCCAAGCTTAGGAGTACCCTTTTTGGGGCTCCCAATAATACGGAGTATAGTATTTTGGGTTCTATATTGGGGTCCTCCTATTAAGGGAAACTACCATATATATAAGATTATACAAATATAAATAGCTCCATATAGATATAGGAATAAAAGAAGCTGGAAACTAATCTGTTACCTACGGTATAAGGTATAGGGTGTAGAGGTTGTCTCAATAATTGAGAATCAAGCGGAAGAGAACATGGAAAATGAAACGGAACTGGGCCCAGAAAATATTTGCATGAATGTTGGTCTGTACATGTATAGCTATCATATAGACTCATCTATCCACACACGCATATATACATATGTATACACATGAATTTGTTGATAGGAAAGTTTGAGGTTCAAAGTTTACGTATAATATAAAGCCTAGAGGGGCGCTGCTGTTGAGCAGTTACAGAAGGTTTGCAGCTGTTTGCGTTTCAAGGTGCCGGGGGTACTATGCAGTTTCAGACCCTCAGCATGCTGACTGATGTGATGCCAGCAGGAAGGTGCTGAACAAACTCGGAGGGAGGGCCTAATGGCAATGTCCGGAGCTGAGGATTCAGAGTGATGCAGACGGCTTGGGTTCAGGGACTTGGCAGGGGACGTTGCGAAAGGGTGGCTTCTGTTACACATGACCAGTGACCACGACTGTGTGGACGAAGGGGACAAAAACTTTTCAGATTCTGAGCGACTGCTGCTTCTGAAAATCGAGGGCCGGATCGTTGGCGCTATTCTGTAAGTCTGTACGTTCTCACATCATTGGTGGGACCAGGAGACCCAAAAGAGCTTCTCACTAAAAGGTTTGCAAGCATGCAAAATCACAGCATCTTGCAGCCCTTCTGGGTGAGAACAAAGAGACGTACGTGTGGAGATTGCCCTAGTCATTTGGGCATATTCATGATCCAGGCGCCTAGAGTTCTAAGGTTCGAGCCTGTTCTTTTTTTGAGCATGTTCTGCTTTCGCCTTTTTGCAGGCTCGTCTCTACTTGCTCTTGGCCCTTAAGGTTGCCAGTGTAAACAGACAAGTGCAAAACGCGCGACAACACGGGAAACTCGCAAATGCTGGTGTCCACAAATCGCTTTTTGGTTGCATCAGAGAGCACCTTGCACCAAAGCTGGTGTTTTGTGCGGCAATGGATTGTTTGTTGGTGACAAGGTAGTCATTGCACTGTAAGTGATCCAACAATGACAAGAAGACCGATACTGATCCTGAGGATACCGAATACGCGAAATTCCAAGGATGCTCTTCAATTGGTGGGTACCGTTTGCGACGAGCCTTGTTGTCGCCGCCCGCCGGCAAAATCACGTGGTCGCTTGTGTTCTGTTTTGGAGATTCTTTGACGCGAGAACGCGGGGTTCTCACAGAGTTTCATAATGTGCATGCAACTTATGGCATGTACATGTCTTTACTACATGCAGAGATGCTTGTGTAGACATGTGGGCACATCTATGAATGCATCTCAGAACATACACGCAAGTGTATATGTGTAGTCTACATGTACATATGCGTGCCGCCAGGTCCATGACATCAAGCTGGTCAGGAGCGAGCAGTTGCCTGCAGATGTGTGTGTCCGGCTTGTGACCATTTGGGAGGCATGGAGTGTGGGGGAAGGTAGAGCCAGTACTGAGCTTGTCTGACAGAACCGAGCAGCATGGGTGGTGGTGGCGAGGGTGGTTGTTGCGGTGGTGGTGGTGGTGGTGGTGGTGGTGGTGGTGGTGTTGGTGGTGGAGTAGCAGCAACAAGATGAACATCCTAACATCGGAAAGGCTGCCTGCTGCGGGAAAGGGCTCGAAGCTTTGCTCCTGGGCTGGGAGCCATGGGCGGCCGCCGGGGCCGCGAGGACAGCCGCGGAGCCTCCGAGGAGTACGAGCAACCTGTAGGCCAAAATTCTCGCCCTTCAGGACGCAGGTTTGGAGGTCTGAAGGCTTGTGAGGGTTAGGGTTTGGGGGTTCTGGTTGGAGTGTAGGGTGTATAGTTTGGGAATCGGGGTTTTGAGGAGCCGCCGGCAGGCATTGATTAAGTTTGGGGTGTCTCAACAGTACGGGTGCCTGGTGGGGTCCCCATAATGGTTTTAGTTAGCACATTATGCAAATTCATGCAACACATGCTCGTAAGAACATCACTTGGGGTTGTATAATAGGCCGGCTTCTCTACGTTATTTCAGGAGTGTCCTGAGACAGTGTTTGACCTGTCAAACGATAAGGAGTAGAAAAACGATAAGGTTCAGTCTTGTAGTGGCCGATAAAATAGGAACGTATATATAAAGTAGTCTTCTGATGCGCCGTCATCGTTTTATGATGCTCATTCAGCACTTGACCAGTACGAGTATAATGAATTTCTTGACTCTGACTATGGCCCCAGATCATGGGAGCGCGAGGGACCCAAAGCGATAACTAAACGATCTCAAAAACGATAAGGTTGGATCCACGAAAGGCCGTTTTGAAGGACCAGTCCCACCCGTAAGCGCTAGCACTACTTGCCCTATTTGCCATACTGAAAGAGAGAGTTCGTGTCTACTATTACGACAGTCAGAACCTGACTCATTGTTTTTTTGTTGGCAGCGCCGCCTTCATGTTCCTTGTGGAAGCCATTGAACCCTCCTTTATCCTGAGCCCCTTTCTAAGTTACTCTCAGTTTAGTTTTCTGAAAAGCAAGGAAACCCCAAACACTGTAAAACGATAAGGAGGCAAACAAAACTATAAGGTTGAAGGTTATGAATGATTCAATAAGAGGTTTTAGACAAGCTCACCTTGCAAACGTGATGGTAGCAGTCTATGCTCATAGTCAACGTGCTACGCCATCTGTATCATGCTATGCACTTAGCCGCCGCCTCCCCTAAACCCTATATAACCCCCTTCAAGGAGTTTAGACTCTAGCTAAGGTATTACAGCGACTACTCAGACTACAGCCGTAGCCGGAGCCGGGATCGTCGCAGAGATCGGGACCGACATCGCCGGGATCGCGGCCGGGGGCGCGACAGGCACGCTAAGAATACGCATGTGAGCGAAAGTCTAAGAGGGATACTAGGAGTTTGGACCACAGCTCACATGCACTTTGGGGTTGTTAAGACTCATTACACCTCTCTGGGGCGATGTTGTTTTTAGGGTCCGCAAAAGGACCACAATTTTCGCAACATCTGATATATATATATATATTGGGACTACAGAGGGATCACTGGGGGACTGGCTTACTCACTTACATCATGGGAACCTGATTAAGGGTGAAGGTGAGTTCTCAAGAAGTAGGTTTCTCAAGAAGTTTTTTGAGTCTAATCGTTTGTTTTTGGGAACACGTGTTGCTTGAAACATGTAACAAGGTGAGCGAGGGACGAAGTACTCAATCAGATCAGATCACATGCAAGATCATGCAAGGATTATCTGCAAGGTTGGTCGGAACAACTGATGGTAATGCTTCTTGCAGCATCTTGGGCAACAGGTTCTGGGCCTTCCTGTGAGCGTGCCATGGATCTTATGGGAGGCATAGGGTTACCAGTCCCCTTGTTTGAAGACTATGCTAGGAGAGTGGAAAGTGAAGATAGCTTTTGTATTGCTAATTATGGTTCTCCTTGTAGTCGCAACTCGCAGTGTCATTCGTGATGCACTTCTTTCGACCAATCTGATCTTAGCTCCCGCATGGTAGCTAACAGTCGCATGGCTGCTGTGAAGCAGGCGACGCGACCGGAGTCGTGGGCGTCGAGGTGGAGGTGGCCGTGGTGGCGGTGGGGGGGACTGGCGAGACGACCTAGAAGAGTTCATTAGGAAGATGCTTGCCTGAGCGTTGTTGTCATTATCAGGTTGGTCTGACTTGCGGACTCACCAACTGTTAAACTTTTCAGAAAACACGTGTGTGTGTGTTGCACAGCCCTCAAAGACAGACATATCAGGAACGGATTGGATCATCGAACGCAAGATGCTCTCTATGGTCTCGACAAATCTGTTGCAATGACGGTCATGGGCATGGATGGCGGGAGGAACACGACCCTCAGCCTACACTAGATAGCTTGCTGGCTTTTTCACGGGCGTACTTCAGGGGACATGCGTGAGAGACGTTCAACTCCAGAGCATCTTTGGAATGCATGCCTCAGTACCGCATTAATCAGGGCCTGCTAACTGCCAACATACCAGATGCGTGACAGCTTCTTGTATATTGGGGTTATATTGGCATAGTGGAAGATAAAATGGAAACTGCTACAGTATATTGGGGTTATATTGGGATAACGGCAAAGACAATGGAAACTACTACAGCATATTCGGGACATATTGGGATGATGGAAAAATGGAAACTACCGTAGTGTATTTTTTTTGCCGCAGCCGTCTTTACTTTTGACCTTTTTTTCTTGACTCAGGTTCCTGCTGGAAGGTGTGCGAAATCCGGACGCTGTTGTGATGTCCCGCATTCGAAATGCAACAGGCGGTGGTCGACGATGAAGCCCAAGGGGTCGACACTCCGTATTCTTGTTTCGATCTTTGCACAGGTGCACTTAAGGTTCTTCTGCAAGAAGCCTGCTCGGCATACGAACTCCAGAGCAATTTTTGCACAAGTTGACTTGTCCTTCAAACCCAAGTTATTTGCACCTGCCTGAGATCAGCTGCTTAAATCCCATTTTCCTTCATGCTGAAGGCAGAGATGTCAGAGCGAACGGAGGGTCGTAGTAACTGGTAATGGGATATCAGAGTGCTTGCAGTGGGCTGAGCTGCCAAAAGGCAGACCACTGCCAAGCTCTCGGCTCCTCACCCTGTCCGAGCAGGGTAGTTATAAAGCCGGCAAATGGCTGGTGGTTGCTAGAGGGGGAAGGCTGCCTGCGAGTTTTGCCACTCCACAAAATGCCTGGAAACATAAAGATACAGGCATCAGGTCATATGCTGAAGTTGCAACAGACCCAAGGAAATTGCAGGCAGAGACAATGGATATCGCATAGTGAGACCCTGCGGTTGCGAACGCGGAAAACATCAAATCTAGTGTTCTCTCCGGAGCTTGATGCATAGCGCTGTGTTTGCAGGGATGCACGAGTCCAGCTGGAGATCACGATATGTACCAAGACACATTCCCTACATGACGCGGCTGCCCAGTCTAAACATAAGCACGCGAGGTTTTAGGCTTTGGGCATTAGCAGACACCACAGGAGCATCCTAGACAAGAGCAACTACGGCCTCTACCGCAAGGCAGGGGCAAGCGTCATGTGTGCCTCCACACATTTATACATGAGGGCTTTGCCAGGACACACTTTACGCTGAAATCCTATGCAGCAAGCATGTGTCGTCAAATTATTAGCGCCTTGCAACGCCACACGTCTATTCTTGTCCGGAGATGCTACAGTCAAGTGCTGTGAACATGACAACGTATACTGCTGTGTAGCCCGGAGACTTGTAAAGAGATTCGCCCAAGTAGACAGAATGCAGAATTGCCTGAAACTGATACAGGCATTCCCAGTGCTCCATGCACTGAAGGGCAGCTACAGTTGCCGCATGTACAGTCACACCCTCACTGCACCCTCAGCCCTCAACTCCCGAAACAGCTGGCCAGGGCCGAAGCTATCGGGTCACCCAGGATCTCATTGGCACGCGAGGACATGTGAGATCTCGGATGCTGGTTTTGCAACGCCTGAGCTTCTTGTAATGTGAAAATGTGAACTGTGAATGAAGCTGTTTCAAGCCTTTAGAACTCTGTGTATGATGGGTATGCACTTGCAATCGCCTTCATAGGCCTCTCGCAACTTTCTTCAAGGGACTAGGGTATGAGCGCAGCGAATGTAGAGACGCGTTTGGTGATCGGTGTGGGCCACTTCTCAACTTGGAGTCCGAGGTTCTGAGCCTTCCCGTCGGATATGTAAGAAGATTTGCAGCACATTTTCAAACGTTCGTCCGGGCTTTTGCGACCCTGGACCGTCCCGTGACTGTTCGTCCTCTTTTGTGTTCCTTTTCGTCTGGAGCGCATATACTGAACACTATACTCACTATAGTCAGACGTGGTCGCAAAGCGTAACGCTTGCCTGGCTCTTCAACTGAGATGCGTTAGTGAGACCATGGTTTATCATTGCAGATGTTTGAATGACATGTTTTTCATTGCTAGGGTTCGTTTGTCATCCTTTGTTGCAAGCATCCGTTGTAGCTGTAGTGCCGTGTTGTGGCGGGTCGTGAAATAATGACGGCGCACTCAAAAAGAGGCCTTGTATACTAGTGCGAGATGTGATCTAGAACTCTTAAATAACCACTGCACAATCCGTGTTCAACCCCCATCAAATTAAAGCCCCTGCAGACCGCAAATGCCCCGTGGCCCAAAGCCTTGAACCCTAAACTCCGAATTCCTATACCCTACACACAAGATGCAAAAGCTTTGTAACCTCAATGTTTTTTCCATAAATAGGGGGGGACCCTCATATAGGCCACAATGTATTAGAATCAGTTTTAATCACTATACTCCTTATTGTAGGGACCCCCGAAATGGGTTCTCGTAGAGGCCCTCCGTGTGGGGTGCTAAAGGACTCCTTGCCTCGCCGGACAACGAGGACTGGCGATGGCAGCGGAGGCGGATTTGGCCATTCTGGGCTGGGATTATAAAGGAAGCCGCAAAACCTACATGAGCCAAATTCTAAATTCCTTAAAGGTGGGATTACACAGGGGATTCTATAGGGGATCATATGGGGAATCCACAGAACCTACATAGGGATTACAGCACAGGGTGCAGAGAATTCACGTACAAGATCCCGAATCCCAAGCCGAAGCCCTGAATCCCCACATGGCCCCAAGTGCTGGACCCTAAAAAAAAAAAAAAAACCACAAACAGCGGAGGCTGATGAGCCCGGCTTTCCGGAGGCTGCCTCTGTGGATTTGGGGGGTTTACTCTCGTGGGAGCGCCCAGTATAAGGCACACCTTCCAAGCTATGATGTCTGGGAAGCTAGCTGCGGGATTCTGGAGCGTGTGGTGTGTATATGCGCGAAGGTTTACGAGTAGACGAGGGGTCTGGGTGAGTTGCGCCCTACGTATCTCGGGCTAAGTAAAGGAGCATACCAGAATTGCTCACGCTGTCATGTAAAGACGGCTCATACAACAGCCATCAAGCAGAACGGCCAAGTATCAGGTGGAGTAGCAGACTCTGAACACAGTGGGCCGGTTTCTGTTGGCACCGTTCATGTTCGATTGCGAAAATTGTCAGATTTTGAGGGTGCACTGAACATGGGGCCCGTGCCAAAAAGGTACTTCCTTGTGGGGATGCCTCTGCATACCTACACCGTCCCTGGAAGCGTTCCGCAAGACGGAATGGGACTTGAAGCCCTGAAACTCACATCCGTAGCTTTGACAAAAAATCAAAACGTTGTGCGGAGCCACGCTGCGGCAGGCACTTGTTTGACCAAGTCTTGGCACCTGCAGTCCAGAGGCGCGGATGGTCGTCTTAGTCACGAATGGCCTCATGAATAGCAAGTCATGTTCTTCAAGGGCGGGTTTCTGTTTGCCAATTCCGGTGAAAACTAAAAGGCCGCCTGCATTGAGCTGATGGGAGCACGAGTATGCTCGGGGACCGCCAAGAACTGCTGTAACTCTCAAAAAGCACATCAACGACTTTCACAAGCCGTACCTGTCCGGCACCTGCTGAAGAAACATTCCAAGCCAGCTCCCTAAAGCCTCTCCTCATACAAATGATCGAAGGATCAGGCTTATGAGTATCAGGAATGTTCAGACCAGGATCAGAACAGCAACAAAGGTTAGTAAGGACATTGTGCCCATAGTAAGTACGCAAATCCCACACCCGTAAGCCCTAACCCTGTTACGGTTACAGATGATGTGCTTCTGGCTTGTCCATAGTGACAGTATTTCCTAAATCCGCTGAACAACAAAGCCTCAAATGCCCTCAATTTTTCAACCCCAAAGGTAGCTGCAAGAGGCTTGTGGCAGACTGCAGTGCCTCGTGGGAGCAACGTGCTCTGGAAGCAGGTGGTGCACGTCCCCAGGAGCCCGCGGGAAGAAAGGGCGGGGGTAGATATTTCCAGGGCGGGTCAATCTGAAGATGATTCGAGTCATGCCTGGGTACCGCACTAGTCTCCACTCAGAGGCTCTTGATGCTTCAATGAGATGCAAACCACACATGGCCAGGTAGACTTCTCCACTGAGTCGGCGCGGCTGACGCTTTCCGCTCTTGGGGCTTTTGCCTTCGGGGACGGTTCTGTGCGGCTCCTCAGATGCTCCATTCCAAGCTGCATTACGCTGTGGCAAGGCATCTTTGAAGGCCTAGAGAACTGCTATCTGTGGTTGCTGTGCGGCATGGATTTATGAGTGTCGAGCTGTAGTACTCGACATAAGCTCAAGTGCTTGGGAACTGCGTTGCTTGAGGGCGAAAGTGAATGAAGCCTCAGGGCCCCCTTTGCTGAACCTCAAAACCGGAGCACCTGCTGCAAATACCCTTCCATGCCTCGCTCGCCCGCCTTCGTCCTGAGTCTCAGGCCACCTCGCTGATGGCAGACTAATTAAAATGAAATGGAAATCATGTTCATTATTTGATTCCTATATGCGAAAGAACAAGACATTATCAGACAGGATATGGACACGCTTGGCAGGGTAGGTCGTGTATGTTTGTGTTGTTGGCCGAGTAGGGCGGCGTCTGCCTTTCGAAAAGATCCTCTTTGGCTTGCCTAGGGCAGAAAACCTGCCATCATGCTGGCCAATCAGAAGCTCCTCGTTGAGACCATGCAGGCATGCCATCGCAACAGCGACAGCATCCTGGCCCTGGTGAGCAAGGTTTGCTCCAAGATGAGCCTCGCCGATGTGGCCTCGGAATGTGAGCAGGTCCGTGAGGTCCTGAAGGACACAAACACTATGTTCGCCACTTTGCACGACGCCTCCACGGCGGACTTGTCACAAGTCCTGGGAGACGTGAAGAAGTATGCGTCAGAGGTGGTGGTTCAGGACACGGGATGCTCCCTTGGAATTCATCTCACGTGCACTGAAACCTGTGCTGATGCCTTCTGGTGTTCTTGCCAGGAGTCTCGTGAGATGCAGTCCACGGTCACTCAGAAGTCGGATGCCTTGGTGCAGGATGTCAACGAGCGCTTCAAGAAGTTGGAGGCGCGTGTCCTCTCGGAGCTTGGAGGCGAGGACAAAGGGAGCCAGGCCAAGGGAGACAGCCAGCTGCTCAAGAAGATGACCAACCGCATGAGCGACTTCGAATCTCAAGTCTCAGCGCAAATCCAGCAGCTCACGCAGGACTGACTAGAGCGTAGTCGAGTAGCCAGTCTCTCCCACGTAAGCATGGCATGCATGGCGATCATGTTTTTGTTGTAGAGGATGTTGAGAAGAAGGTGTCCTTCTTGGGCTCCCAGAGAGCTGGTGCAGCAGGTGCAGATGGCTCGAGCCCTCCTGGTGTGGAAAGCCTGTCACACGACCTGGACTCCGTGAAGTATGACATGGGGGAGCTTAAGGACATGCTGAATGCATCGAAGACCGACACTGCCCAGGTGAAGCGCATCGTGCTTGCCTGTGAGCGGGACATGGAGGATTTCACGGCTGCCATGGATGCCGTGAATGTCGATCTGGACGAGATGAGGGCCCGTGTGGATTCCACCCACTCCATCATCACATCGCGCCAGCGCGTGGAAGCCACCGTCACAGCGGAGATCTCCACTATGCGTTTGGATATGGGGGACATGCAAGAGGCCCTGAAAGCTCATGATGCTTGGATGGAGGATGTGTCGCAAAGCTTGCAGGAGGTGCACGAGCGCTGCCAGCAGTTGTCCGAAGACATAGGGGAGCACGCGCAGAGCACGCAAGCAAAGTTGGATGCTAAGACGGATATCACGGCCTGGAACGATATGAACGACGACATCGATGCCTCCATCAAGACGGTCCGTGACATGGCTTCGGCCCTGCGCCTGGAAGTGGACAGCCGCCGGCGCAAGGTCGACGAGGATCTGGGCAGCTTGCGGGAGAACCTCAAGACCTTGGCCGAGAAGGTAGACACCAACGCGGCCAATATCCAACGCCGCCAGGCTTGCATGTGGTGCCGCCTCTCCTGGCTTGAAAGCCTTCTCAGCTACCCCCCTACTACCCTCCGCTGAGGCTACGTGGATGACTCCAACTCGGTTGTGTCCCAACGCCTCGATGAGCGCCACCAGCATTGCAAGGACTTGGAGACCACATTAGGCTGGCTCTCAGGGAGGGATGCAAGCGGCAAGATGGGCGGGTTATATTGCTGATTCTTAAACGCTGGAACATGATCCATCTCCCAAACAGCTATACTAGGGTCCAGTGGACATTCTAGGCTGGAGATTGATGGGCGCCCTGAGGTCGCCACAGCGACACGCACCAGCAGATTCATTCGAAAATAGATACCCACCGCGAGGAGATCGACAACAGGCCAGCTCGATGAGAGTTCGTGCTAAAGCCCACTAGCGCGCCAAAACTACAAGATGGGTAATATCAGCAAGCCCTTCGAAGCCAACCAGCATCAGTTTCACCTAGAGTCATCATGCGTAGTGGAGGCTTTCTTGAATGAAGCGATTCAACTACTGGGCAAGTCACAATGCCATGCCTGCTTCCCTTTTCCAGACAAACACCGAAAACTCCTGAACCTGGAAGCTCCCAAACCCTAAACCCCTGCACCCACTTCCCAGAATCTGAAACCGTAGCTTCTTGCAAGGACAGCACAGCTGGAGGCTCACCTGCAGAAGCAGGACGAAGATCTTCACAAGGAGGTAGGATCACATGAGTTTTGATGCGCGCTGCCAAGCCATAATGTAGTATCTCCAAGGAGGGCATGCCGTTGTGATTGCATTTTCTTAATACCGTTCATGGTGCAGAACCGATAGTGTTTGTGTACAACAATTGGACAACCTTTTTCTGAAGCCATGTAGGTGAACGACCGCATTGACGGCCCCTCGGCAGAGATTGAGAGGATCGTCTCAGGACTTTGTAGGAGCAAGGGCTGCTGTAAGATGGGGGCCTGGCCACCTAAGGCGTGGAGCGTCACCACTCCAATATCTCCAAGGCTGCGTGGTCTTGACTGTGGATCGGAGCGTTTTTCAGTATGCTCAAGTTGTGATTCGACGTCGTTAAGCTGGAATCTCGTATGAAATGTGTTTGGCAGCGTTACACATTTGGGATTTCCTCCTTGCATTACTGATGGTGCTTGTGCAGGAAACTTCGAAGCGTCTCAATGCCTTGGATCTTCGCATCGCAGGGCTACAAGGTCGCGGGCTCAGGGTGTACACGGCAGGGGGAGGGATAGGGAGGGGACAAGATAAGGACGTGGGATGGCAACAGTCTTGTTCGGTGCCACCATGTCAGCTCGATACAAGGATGCTGGATTCTGTCTGCATTCGCTTGCCTATGACAGGTGCCAGTGGCGAATCTAAGCGTGACATCGGGAAGCTGCGTGACGAGGCTTCTTTTTGTTGGAACTTGCTGTGCGCTCCTGGCGGCTAGACTCGGCTAGACCATGTCGCAGTCTCCCATCAGTATCATCAGGTGTTTCCTAGGCGTGCCCTGCAGAGATGCAAAGCTTTCCAGTCTACTCTCGAAGAAGTTCTGCACTGTTTGTAGATGCATCCACTGACGCAGGTTAACAACTTGACCGTAAAGAGCGCTGCACATGACGTTGACATTGGCAAAAACAGCGATGATCTTCGGAAGCTGGAGCGTCAACGCGTCGAGGAGCACCAAGAGACTGAAGTAGCGGTGCGCTCCGTGTCAACAGTTTTTCGCAATCCTTGTCAGAAAGCATCAGTTACAGGAACTTACGGGAACACGAGCCCCCTTTGCAGGACAACCAGCGCCACAAGCAAGATGTGGACGGCATCTACGAGGCACCTGCAAGTCGCTGCAGTTCGTTGAAATCCAGGTAGTAGGGCCCCATGTGGAACCTTCTGGGAACCTTGATGTAGCCACAGGATTTCTTGGGCTCGTGTATAAAGACTTGAAGTTTTGGAAAAAAGTGTGCTTGTTTGTCAGAGCGGTGCAGTGAGTGTTTCCGAAGTACGGCAACAGGCTGGTTAATTGATTGGCTTAGCATCTGATGCCTGAAGACATTCTATCCTAATCTGGAAGATTCCTAGTCGCTTAAAACCCTGCATTCGGAAGGAGCTGGACCAGAAGGTGTATGAGAAGAACTTCCAGAGCCTGGAGGACTTTGGTGGGGTAGTTCAGGGTTGATCGATTCCAGACATGATGCCCTGCGTGTAGAAGGCAGACAGCCCAGCTTCATTTTCCCATGCGAGTGAGCACTATCTGGTTCCTGAGGAGAATGTCACCAAGCTCACGCGGGGTACGGTAAAGCTCTGTCAGGCCACACCATTCACCGCACTGAGCAGCTTTCTGATGTTGAGGCAACGTGTGCTTCTTCTGCCAGGTTGTGGGAGTCTTCCCAGGGGCGCGGATGAACGATGGCACGGAGGCTTGCACATACTCCTCCAGTAATCATGCGGAAGAAAATGGAAGCGACCATGCCAAATGGCAGTTTCCATGAATTATAGACAGCAGAGTGGACACTTCTGCTTTCTGGTAGTTATCACTTGATCGTACATCAACAGCTTGGACTAGTGCAGACCTGTCGGTGAGTGCTTGCAGGAAGAACTGGATGTTGATGTGGAGCTCTTGAATTGGGAGGACTGTGCTCAGAACTTGGTGAGTCGGGCCTCTTGACTTTCAGATGAATGGGCTGGCTCCTGTTCAAAGGTTCTGATGAGTTACCCAAGGTACTAATGTAGACCCCTGATTAATAACCCCCTTCCCATTAATAGAGAATATAATAGGGATCCTAATATGTAGGCCCTTAAAAGGAGGGGGTTCATTTATAAGAGGTCTACATCAGTACTTAGAGCCCTGAACTCGGAGCGCGGAGTCCCCAAAATTGTGCCATACACCCTCAACCCCATAGCCTAAGACCTGACCCCTAACTCTGAAACCGCAAACTCGTGCCTAGTCTAGTCCAATGCCAAAGCCACAAGTCTTAAACTTGCAACCCCAAACCCTAGACACAGAATTTTGAACCCGAACCTTTGAGAAAACCCAAACCCTTAAGCAACCCAAACCCTAGCCTAGACCCGTGTGCCCAAATTTCGAAACACCAAACCCAGAGCAAGGTTGACAAGACTTGGCGTCAGATCTCTTCGCAGAAGTATCGCAGCATTTTGGACCTCCTCGGCAAGAAGGCCGACTTTCGTGTTTTTTTGTAATTTTCCAGGGTCGAGAGTCTATTGAATTGATCTTAGATTTCGCTCTAGTGCTTGCTCTGGGTGATCCTTTGAGCACCGCAGCCCTCAAGCGAGCATGATGAGAGGGCTGCTGCCACCAGCTTCCTTAGACATCTAAGAATCACTTGAAAGAAGCCATCCTGGCAGGCTGACCATTCCGTACTTCGCCTGCTGCAGATCTCCCAGCAGCACATTGAAAGCCAGCTGGAGCCGAGTCCGCACGAAGGGGACCTGCACTAACTGGCCTGGTGTTCAGGAACTTAAATAGAATTACCATAATGGGTACATAAATATATATATATACACAAATATTTATATGTATATATAAAAAGAATATAGTGCAAATTTTGGGGGAAACGATATAGTAACTTAGTTTACGTTCCTTAGAATCAACCCAGCTAATAGTGACCCATTTTGACTTCGGCAGAGGCAGAACCATCACCTGCCCCGTCGGTTGTCTGAGATGAGTTACATGAATCCAGAGTGTAGATCCGAATTACAGAATCGCACAACGCACAGACCTGGGTAGTCAGAATCATGGAGCCGATCTACAAACACCCAGCCCTGAGACACACAAAACCTTATTAACTCCACAAAGCCATGATGGCTACACATCTCTTAAAGCCTCCTACAGTACCCATCTTGGCTTTGCAGCTGTCTAGGATCGTGTTCGCCATGAGCGCGAGCTCTGGAAGGACGCCGGAGACATTTGTTGCCTTTTTAACTACTCCTTGACATTTGTATAGATGGCAGTGCAGCAAAAGCCGTAATAGGAGTGTAACCTCTCTGTTTTTCTGCGTTACTCTTCTTGCTACTGCAGCTACCATTGTTTCAGTTCTTCCCGCATTGTTTGCCACGGTGGGGTAATAATCCAGACTCAAAGAAAGATCATCTTGTGTAACCTCAAAAAATGGGAAAGTAAAATGGTATCTGCTTCAAGGCCGCAGTATTAGTCTCAGTCTCTTAGTCTGCACGCTGCTTCCTGTGCAATGTCTCTTGTTGTCTTATTGAAGTCATACAGTTTCATGCTGATTGTCAACCCGAAGCCCAACAGGTCCTGCTTATTTCTGTCTTCGCTAAAACCGTGTAGGTAACCAAAATGAGATTGAAGGCGAACCTGGCTAAACCCCCCCAGGGTTTAAGGAGTTAAGAAGGACTATATTTAAGGGCTGCCGCCGCT